CAGGCTACTGTATCAGAATCTTTGAGGGTGAGACCCAGTAGTCAGGGTTTCAACAAGTCCTTTGGGTAATTCTAATGTGTGTCCAAGTTTGAGAGCCACTGAATACTGTTGAGCCAACATGTCAGATGGTACTTTCTCAGCCAGTGACTATAACAGCACTAAACTGCAAAGCCTCTCACCATTGAGCTCTGCACTGTCCTGTGGAGAAATCTATGGCTTCTATTCTCTTTTTCTGGTTTGCTTTTCTGGCAAATGGTTTTGACCTTAAATGATTTTAAAAAATTGTGCAGTAAGTGCATCTGGATTTACCATTGGCCAAGAGAGAATGAGTATTGGACTGAGTTTTAAAATAAAGGCTTCGCAGGGGATCAAGATGTGTTCGAAGAAATGGTCTGGGAAACAGAGAATTACAGAAAAGGAGTGGGAAGAAATTGGTTGAACTTGAAAAAAAATTTACTTATTTGAAAGGAGAGAGAGAGAGAGAGAGAGAATTGATTGGTTCACTCCCAAAACGGGCACAATGGCTGGGCAGGACCTGGCCAAAACCAGGAGCCCAAAACTCCATTCTGGGCTCCTATGTGGGTAGCAGAGGCCTAAGTACTTGGCTCATCTTCCATTGCTTTCCCAGGTGCATTAGCAGGGAACTGAATTGGAAGTAGAGCAGCCAGGACATGAACCAGCATTCATATGGAAGGTTGGGGTTGCAGGTCACAGCCTAACCCACTGCGCCACAATGCCAGCCCTGGCATCAAGAATTTTAAGAACATCAGGGAGCTATTTCAGAGCAGTATTTCCATAACATGATGTTAAGGAGGTAAGTGTGTGTGTGCACGCATGCATCCATATTATTGATCAACCATTTGTCAAATAACACGGGCTTCAAAATTCATGCAAGTTCATAACTGGTTTCTAGCAGATTCCACCACTTACTAGTAGTTACTGTGGGTAAACTACTTAATATTTTTAACCCATAGTCCCCTTATCTGGAAAATGTATAAGAAGAACATCTCCTTATTACAGACAATATTAGATTTGGTACAGCACTTAGCATAAATCCAGCATGTACGTGAAAATTGTTCAATACATTTTAATTATTATTAATAGACATAATAGCAATCCTGGTGTTGCTTCCTTAAACTAGGAAAGCCTCTTCAGAGGGACGCTCTAAAGCATCCAGGTTGCACTGGGTGTCACTCACCTAGGGAAGCATTGCTCTGAGGAAGTTTTTCTAGTTGAGTCCTGAAGGAGAGCAGGGTGGTACCCAAAGCAATAGAGTAAGGTCCCAAAGTCTCCCCCTAGCTTGTTTATGGCTGAGGTTTGCCTTTTATGTAAACAGGCATGCTTTTATTTTTTTAAAGAATTGTATTTTGTTTAAAAGGCAGAATGGCAGAGAGGGAGAGACAGAGAAAAAGAGATAATCTATCTGCTGTTCACTCCCCAGGTGGCTGCAATGGCAGGAACTGGGCCAGGCTCAAGCCAGGAGCTCTGTCCAAGTCTCTCATGCAGTTGGGACATCTTCTGTTGCTCTCCCAGGTGCAACAGCAAAGAGCTAGATCAGAGTGGAGCAGCTGGGGCTCGACCCTAGCTGTTCCTTTTTCTCAAGCTAATCAGTATCTGAGAGCATATGTTGTATTAGAATGAAAAAAAATGGAGTACACACAGAAAGAAAGAAATGTATACCCCTCTGTGTTGAAGCTGGTTATACTTCATAGCAGCTTGGATTATCTTAACCCAACACAAGAACCGCTCTGCTATAGGATGCCAGCGTTGCAAGCAGCAGCTTCACCTGCTGCACTACACCAGCCAGAGGCCATGATTTTTAATAATCTTGTCCTTTAAATTCTGTGGCTTATTGAGAACAGCCCTGTTTCCCCAGCACCTCACAGAGTCTTAACTACTTGCCCTATTGAAGTCTCTGTCTCCTTCTCCCTTCACAAGTGTCCTCTCTCTCTGACACCAGCTTTGGCTGTTTCCAATCATTTGGTCAGCAATTTCTCCTGGGACCTATTTTGCAGTCTTAGGGTAGCATTTGACAGCATCTGGACATGTCTGCTTGGGTAGAAAGCTATCCTCTGAAAGATGCCTTTTCCTAAGGAAAAGCCAGGTTGGATTCTACTCACAGCTACTTGCTTGCTTCCCCTTCTACACACCTCTGTGGCTCACTTGTTTGGTGCCAAGCTAATCCTTATTATGGCACAAACCCTAGTATATTGCATGATAAACTGTGGGGGCTTAATGAGTGCTGGTAGTTTGAAGATATCATGTAGAAGTTTACATTTTAAGAGAAGAGAAAGGAGAAGAGGTAGAGAGATCAGCCCTTGAGATTATAAAAGAATTCAGAAAGGAAATGGTGCAGAAGAGAAGCAAATGGGAGGTAGGGGGCCTTTCCCACTACGGTTCCTGGTGGCATGGATGTTGGCCTGGCCAGAGGATGATCAGCCGAGAGGACAAGGCTGGAGTCAGAAAGCTCTTGTTCAGAGCCTGTGCTGTTTAAGGCCTAACGACCAGAATACCAGTTGGGGATTTATTTGACAGCTCTCAATGTGGAATGCCCTGGGGAAGAAGCATTGCAATAGGGCACACCTCCCCGGCTGGGGAGAGGAAGCAACAGCTCTTCAGTCTTCTGCCAGTGTGTCTGGGCAGCTGGCATCCCCTCCCACCATGCTGTGTATTTACCCAACTTCAAAGGCCAGGGCTGCCATCAAAGAGAGGGAGAGAAAGCAGAGACAAGATGAACTTCTCCTCTCCCCACCTCAGCCCCTCTTCTCCATTAGAAAGTCTCCCTTGCCAAAATGTTAACTAATGGCACACCTGTTATCAGACACGTGTGTCTGCAGCAACAACCTGGAGGATCCTTTCACTCTGGGGCCGAGGTGTAACTTCTGCAGGCATGTAGGGGTGCTGCTATAAGAGCCTATGCCGCCGGCGCCACGGCTCACTAGGCTAATCCTCCGCCTTGCGGCGCCAGCACACCGGGTTTTAGTCCTGGTTGGGGCACCGGATTCTGTCCCGGTTGCTCCCCTTCCATTCCAGCTCTCTGCTGTGGCCCGGGAAGGCAGTCCTGCACCTCATGGGAGACCAGGATAAGCACCTGGCTCCTGGCTTTGGATCAGCGCGATGTGCCGGCCGCAGTGTGCCGGCCACGGCGGCCATTGGAGGATGAACCAACGGCAAAAGTAAGACCTTTCTCTCTGTCTCTCTCTCTCTCTCACTGTCCACTCTGCCTGTCCAAAAAAAAAAAAAAAAAAGTCTATGCCATAGGATGACCCTCAGACCCAAATCACTGCCAGGTTCTACAGCAAAAAGGCCATGCTGGTTTCTTTCCTTCCTTCCTTCCTTCCTTCCTTCCTTCCTTCCTTCCTTCCTTCCTTCCTTCCTTCCTTCCTTCCTTCCTTCCTTTCTTTCTTTCTTTCTTTCTTTCTTTCTTTCTTTCTTTCTTTTTTTCCACACTAAACCAGTACCTGAGAGTAAATGTTGGATTAGAATGGAACCTGTGGAGTACATAAAATAGAAAGAAATTTATACCTCTCCATGTTTAAGCTGGTTATACTTCATAGCAGCTTGGATTATCCTAACCCAACACAAGAATAGCAGTTAATCAAGGAGCTAGAAAGGCACTGAGAAAGGACAAGGGGTCTTCCAAAAGGTCATAGATGATGTATATTATGAAAAAAGTGCATGTATTGAAAAAGTGTTTTGCAGGGCCAGCGCTGTGGCACAGTAGATTAATCCTCTGCCTGTGGCTCTGGCATCCCACATAGGTGCTGGTTCTAGTTCTGGCTGCTCCTTTTTCCAATCCAGCTCTCTGCTGTGACCTGGGAAAGCAGTAGAAGATGGCCCAAGTGCTTCGGCCCCTGCACCCACGTGAGAGACCGGGAAGAAGCACCTGGCTCCTGGCTTTGGATCCGCGCAGCTTCGGCCATTGTGGCCATTTCGGGGGTGAACCAACGGAAGACCTTTCACTCTCTCTCTCCCTCTCACTATATGTAACTCTACCTCTCAAATAAATAAATGAGATCTTTAAAAAGAAAGAAAGAAAGAAAGAAAGAAAGAAAGAAAGAAAGAAAGAAAGAAAGAAAGAAAGAGTGTTTTGCATCAAAACAAACTTCTCTTTTAATTCAATTTTCTCATGGATGTTTTGAAGTATGGCAGGTGGAAAGGGAATGAGCTTTGAGGTCAGACAGATCTTTGCAAGTTACTTCACTTTTCTAAGCTGCAATTTCCTAATAACAATGATGATAATGATAAAGATCATAGTTGTTGCATGAATTAAATGAGATGCCTTAGCTAGAATAACTAGCTCCCAGTGGACACTCCAGAAACCTCAGGGTCTGTAACTGTTCCTTGTGGCTGCTGTATCACATCACTACAGACTTGGCAGCTTAAAGCCAGAGAAGTTTGTTCTGTCATAGTTTCAGAGGCCAAAAAGTCCAAAATCAGTACCACTCCAAAATCAAGATGTCGGCAAGGCTGCCCTGTCTCCGAGGACCTAGGGGAGAATCTGGTCCTCGCCTCTTCCAGCTTCTAGTGGCTGCTGGAATTCCTTGGTTTGTGGCTACATCATCCCAGGCTTCACGGCCAGTTTCCTTACATCTCTGCTCTGGTGCAAGTGTTTGGCGTGGCAGTGAAGATGTGGAATGGGATGCCTGCATCCCATATCAGAGTTCCTGGGTTCAAGTTCTGGTTCTGCTCCTGATTCTCGCCTCATGCTAATGTGCACTCGAGGACGCAGCAGGCGATGGCTTAAGTGGTGAGGTTCCTGCTATCTGCGTGGACTCAATCAGACCTGGATTGAGTTCCCAACTCTGACTTGGCCTGGCCCTGCTGTTACTGGCATTTGGGGAATAGACCAGCAGATGGGAAATCTCCCTGTCTCTTTCTCTGTCACACTGCTTTTCAAATACATAAATAAATACATTTTCTGCTCCATTCTCACAGCACTTCTACTCTATGTGCATGTCAAGTCTCTCTCTCATAACGATAATTGTGACTGCATTTAGGACCCGCTTGGATAATCTCCACATCAGAAGAGCCTTGCGTTAGTCACATCTGCAATTTCTTTTCATATAAGGTAAGATTCACGGGCTTTAGGGATGCAGACCTGGATATGGGGGCTGAGTGGGTGGGATGGGTACATCAGCTTACAACACTGTCTTTTGGATTTTTGAGTGGGAGGAAAGAAGGAAGAAAAACACGGAAAGGGAAGATGGTACCTTTTATATGAAGTGAAATTATATGCAAATTTATCATCCAGTTTTTTTTCCAAGTTGACAACTGAGAAAACAAGATAATAGAATTAGTAGATAAAGCACTTGGATATATATAGTCCTGTTTTTTGAAATTTGGTTGTATTTATAGTCAATTTTGTTACATAAGATCTTCTGATTTTATAACTAAGGAACATAAGCTGGTTCTGGATGTAATTATATCCATACAATAAGGAATTATTTAATAGGATTTTAATGTATTTATCTAGCTTTTGTCCCCTACGTACTAAATGCTTCTCATATATAGCCTTGAGCTGTTAGCTAACTTTTCACACCGATTGCCTCTTAACTCAATTATATATTCTTTGAGATTAAAAAAAATCATGTCTTGTACAGTTTGTATCTTTCATAGTGCCTTACATAGTATTTTAGTCAATAAATATTTGCTTGACTGATTAATTTTAAAATACCCAAGAAAGCAATTGTGAAGGAAGATGGAGGCAGGTCCATTCAACATTTGAGCTTCATGGAGATAGATATTAGGAAAAACCTATCCTAAGCCTTGAGGGAAATACTGCTGCTGCTCTCTCTTACTCCATATTTCTCAGGTCTGATTAAAATTTGTATACCTTTGTCAAATGCACTTTAAACTAACCAAAGAAAAACAGGAATATGGCACTTGAATACAGATCCTATCTGTCTTATTCTTTTTATCCAGTGAAGTAGTTTGACAATCTGGATCCCTTAAGCAAAAATTCAAATAATATCCCCATATTTAGAATCAAAATAAGCCGATTTTAAGTTTTTCTGCCACAAAGGGCCTTTTGTATGCTATACCTGTCATTGCAGAAATTAAAAATAAGGAAGAGTTTCTGGGAAAAAATAGATTCTGCCTTTAAGGCAAGCTAGCACATTTCCTGGCACTCTGTCACTGATCTGCAAATATTAATTTCCTTCTGTTCTTCCTGTTACTTTTTCTTTCTTATTAAACAGCCTTAACAGTCAGCAGAATGAGCAACTAACCTTCAGAAAAATGATAATTCCTTCAAGAGTAGAGGATTTAACTGAAATGCAAAGTGTCTGTAAATAATGCATTTTGTGGGAGTTTAGAGACTTCAAAATACTATAAAAACTCTGAAATAAAAATACTGTTTAAAAATGAGTTGGGGGCTCCAGGAATGGTTTTCCTGCTGGGAATTTTAGGTTGTTCTCTGGGTGTCTTTCAGTGATTCTGAGTTTTTGGGACTTTGCAGGGAGTGCCAGGGTACAAAGTGTGCCAAGCTGCCCTTAAGGTTTTGTCTTCCCAGGGAGAAAGCAATTTTTTTTCTTTGTATGTGTGTTTACTTGCAATGTCTTTCAGAGTAGAGGAGCAATCTTTTGAAAATGATGAGAATATAGACTTGGTCATTGTAGCCTGATTCAGTGAACTGGTTCCATTTGGGTGTTGAGAAACAGAAATGGGCAGATTGACACCTGCCAATCTGACCCGAGATAACTGAGTTGAGCCAGTGCTGTGTATTCCATGAGTGTGCCTTAGTCGGAGCCCTCTTATCATCTTCAAAACACGTCTCTTTTCTCAGTTATTCAGAATAAGTAAATCAATGACATTGTTTAAAAAAAAAAATAAAGAAAAAGAAAAAGAAGGGGTAGAGGGAGGAGACACCAGAACAACCACCCCTCTGCTTCGGTATGGAAAGCAGAGTCTAAACTTCAGTGATCTTAAAGACAATTTTAGTGAGGGGAGAAAGCCCATCTGTATGGCTCGGCAAATTAATTTTGAATATTTGAAGATAAAAAGGCTGAGTTCCTTGGAACTGGCTTTAAAAGTCACAAATCCATGGCAATCTGAGGTGCTCACTGACTAGGGCCTCTTCTGTTTGTTCCAAATACCCCTTTATCATTGGTTTTGAAAGAGTATGGCTTTCTGTAAAGCAATGCCAATTGGGAAAAGAATCAGATAATGAAGAAGTAATGCTACCCTAATGACACGCCTTTAGGTCCTCAATAGGATTTCTTCTAAATCAAAAGACTTTGTTTTATTAGCACATTTGGTAGAGGCGGGGGAAAGGAAGAGGGGACCTTTTTCTTTTTGCTTTTTCATCTTTGTAACAAAACACATATTGAATAAAAGCCCCTGGATGAGCCACAATGCAAACCCAGAGGGTGGAAGGGATAATTTTGTAAATTGTAAATCAGAAATTCTATTTGTGGTAGATGCTGAACACATGTAATTTACCAGGAAAACAGTGTTACCCTGAATATAAGAGTGATGGATGCCTTGTAAGTTGGAGAAGAGGAGACAGAGTCATTTAAATACCCAGTGTGATGGTCCAAGGTTCTCTGTGTAGCAAATCTTAGCCTCCTTGGGAGAATCTTTAGGTACAGGACATTGCCTCGCTGGAACTGCCTGGAGACGAGGGTTGGACACAAGGCTCCTAGCCCCATCTGGGCTTGTTCCACAATCAAACAGGTATGGAAGCTGCTGAAGTGACATCTGGTTTTACAATGACCACACTTTACCAAAAGCCTCTAAAGCGTCCCCTACAGAGGGACTAAGATCCCAGACACCTTACCAAATTAGGATTGCTAACCTTTTCTAAGCTAGAATTGACTTCACAAGATGTTCTCCTCTTTTACATTAGCAAGCGCAAGGCACCGCATAGGTTGGCTATGTGAACTCAGAAGCCAGGTAATGCACTCTGGTGGGAGGACATGAGTGGATGGCATAGCGGAGAATCAGATCAATGTCAAGTCCCGTGGAGTAGCTCTGCAAGAAGAGCAGGTAGCTCCAAGGTCCTGATCCTCAATGTCTCCTCCTCATCCTCGCGTGTGAGCAGCAGCTCTAGACTTTCCCCACTGACATTGCTATTTCCAGGCCACGGCTGAGGCAGACAAGAGAAACACTGCAGATGAAAAGATAAATAACAATTCTTGGAAGTCATAAGGGATTTTTTTGGGAGGAGGCAATTGAAGTCACAAACTACACTAATTGCCTCAGAAACTATATGCTATTTGCTGCATTTTATTAACTGCACTGTGGGAAGAGGATGCTCGTTCTCTGTATTGGCATCTTGTAGATATATTGAGATTTTTGCATAAATGTGTTATTCATCACAGACCAAGACACATAAATAAAATATATAGAGAGATATTAGTACTGTAGCAAAGTCTTAGAGAAATAGCTTACCAAGTGACAATGCTGTCAAGGAACATGAAAGACTGAAATTAAGCCTTGCTTTTCTTCAAAACACAATCTTTAAACAAACTGAACTTTAGTTCTTCACAGTCTGGGGACAGGTAAAAGAAGATATTCAAAGCACCATGTGGGGTTCCTGCTAGATGATAGAAAGGCATCCTTGGAGAGCTGAAATAACTTTTAAAAGAGAAAAAAAACTATTTAAATCTGCAAAAGAATAAGATGATTATTCCTCTTCTGGAACCCTTTTGACAAACCCCTACATTTTCAAAGAGTTACATGGGATTTCTCCAGACATTGACTTTAATCTGAGTTGCATTTCTAAACTATATGCAGTCCTTTGGAAATGTAGGGTTTGGTGACTGTTATAAGTCAGACAATTGCTTGATTTAAGTTAACAGAGCTTGAGGAATGAATAAACATGGGCACTTCAGTGCAAAAATACATGTTTGGAAGTAAACCTCTATTCAGGTAAGGATGGCCAGAAAGAAGGAATGCAAGTCAAACCTCCAATTCGAAATGCAGTTGAGAAATATGAGTATCCTTTGAAATCATAAGGACAAATAGGAGAACTTGGGAAGAACCATCAGAGGACCCCAAGGACAGGCTTTTGAGAATATTTTCCCCAAAACTTTTCCCATTTGGAACTGCCAGATAGATTATCAAGACAATTTCTACCCAGAACTCGTCCTGTTTACAATCCATATTACAAAAAGTTATATTACCATTGTCATCTTTTAGCAGCATGAGTGATATAATCTCATATTCATAATATGGCTTTTTTATATTTGCAGCTTTATGAAAATCTATAGATATCAATATCTGTTTTTAATGGATCTTGCAGAAATCCTGCTGCCTGGGAAGTTGTGCTGTACTGCTATGGAATTATCACAGAAGCTTATCTGACAATTATGATATCACATCAAGAAAATATGACTTCTAAAGTATGAGAGAAAACTTTTGCAGCACCATGACCAATCACATTTTGGTTTGGAAATAAAAACTAAGGTCTATATGTGATAATTAGTTGAGTGACTTCAGTTGCAGGAATCCCTCTATCCCACCCAAGGCTGGCTGTCAGCGTCGATGAAATGGAATGTCAAACTGAAAAACTCTAAAGCTATTTCTTCCATATTAGAAAATCACTAGCAAATCACATCTTCCTGCACTACTGGCAAGGTAAAAAATAAAAAATTAGCAAATTTCTCTCTCCTTGTTTCATCAAACTTTAATCTAACTTGTTTACCTCTATTGTGGGACTGATCACACACTGGACCTCAACATAAAGGGATTTTATCTCTAATGCCAACATCTGATAGTTTTTTGTGAGGTGTATTCTTTGACTGCTCTGTGGCAATTAGCATGGTTAATCACTGCCTCTTCTTTCTTTAGTTTCCTCTGTGTGTTTCTTCTCTACCCCCATGTCCTTCCTTCTTAATCTCTATTCTAAATCCTTGAATAACTGATGTTCATTATAGTGGCAAACCTGACTTTTCAGTTATTTGTTTAATTTTATTTGAAAGACAGAGACAGAATGACAGAGACATTCATATCAGCTGGTTCACTCCACAGACACCTGTGACAGTGAGGGTTGGGCCAGACTGAAGCCAGGATCCTGGAACTCCATTTGGGTCTTCCACGTGGGTGCCAGGAGTCCAAGCATTTGAGCCATCTGCTGTTCATTAGTAAGGAGCTGGATCAGAAGTGCAGGAGCTGAGTCTTGAACCAGGCACTCCAAAATAGGATGTGGGCATCCCAAGTATCATCTTTTTTTTTTTTTTATGATATCACTTAAAGACAATCTGCAATAAAATATTTTTTAAGATTTATTTATTTATTTGAAAGAATTACAGAGAGAGAGGGAGAGGGAGAGAGAAGAAACACACACACACACACACAAAGAGAGAGAGAGAGAGAGAGAGAGAGAGAACACAGAGATCTTCCATCCACTGGTTTACTCTCCAAATGGCGACAATGGTCAGAGGTGGGCCAATCCCAAACCAGAAGTCAGGAGCTTCTTCTGGGTCTCCCACTTGGGTGCAGGGGCTCAAGCACCTGGGCCATCCTCTGCTGCTTTCCCAGGCACATTAGCAGGGAGCTGGATTGGAAGTGGAACAGTTGGGACATGAACAGATGCCCATGTGGGATGCTGGCCCTGTAGGCAGAGGCTTAAACTTGCTGCGCCACAGTGCCAGCTCCCCAAGTAGCATCTTTTTTATTTCTTAATTTATTCATTTTATTTGAAAAGCAGAGTAACAGAGAGGCTGAGAGAGACAGAGAGAGGTCCTCCATCTGCTGGTTCACTCCCCAAATGGCGGAAATGGCCGGAGCTGTGCCTATCTGAAGCTAGGAGCCAGAAGCTTCTTCTAGGTCTCCCTTACAGGTGCAGGGGCCCAGGTACTTGGGCCATCTTCTACTGCTTTCCCAGGCCACAGCAGAGAGCTGGATCGGAAGTGGTGCAGCCGGGACATGAACCTGTGCCCGTATGGGATGCTGGCACTATAGGCCGCAGCTTTACCTGCTATGACACAGCGCCGGCCCTGTATCTTAATCTCTGCACCAAACTCCTTCTCCCTCGGCTTGTTTCTCAAAATTCCCCCAATGTGCCTTTTCTAAGCAAACCTTTCCTTCTTGAGTCCACAGCTTCAGCTTCTACCCACATGCTCTAGACTCAGTGCTACTGCCTCCCCAAGTTCTAGATCACCATTGCAGGGCATCTATTGCCTGGCTGAGTACTGTACAGACACTTCAAGGCCAACTTGTCCCAGGTTAAATTATCATTTTCTTTCCAGTGCCCATTCCCCACACAATAAACAATTAAATAAACAGGCTCCCTAACTCTGTACCTATCTTGGATCAGTGGTGCCAATACCAACTGCAATGTTGAAAGCACAAATCTAGGATTCGTTTTTTAAGACTTTCCTAACTTGCTTGAATGGAAATCTGACTATGCAGTTCTGCTAGTTCATTGAGTTTCCATTACCTATAACAAACTATCTAAACTTCTTAACATGTCAGTTGATACATTCTCTGGTACCCATATATTTTTTTCCAGCTTCTTCTCTTGCCACTGTCCTCTGGCAATTTGTGATCCAGATATTCTATTTGTAATTTCCCCAAAACTCTCCATGCTCTCCCAAGCTTTTTGGGCCTTGTAAATGACTTCCTCCTCTAGCCACACCTTTCCTTTGCCATGGTGGTATCCCTGTCTGTCTTGGGACTTATTCAGGTTCCAAGACTCAGTTCAAGGGGGCCAGCATTGTGGTTTAAGCAGGTAAAGCTATCATTTGCAATGCTGGCATCTCATATGAGTGCTGCTCGCTCCACTTCTGATCCAGCTCCCTCTTAATGGTCTGGGAGAAGCAGCAGATGATGGCCCGAGTGCTTGGACCCTTGCATCCATGTAAGAGATCTGAATGAAGCTCCTGGCTCCCGGCTTTAATCTGGCCAATCCCGGCCAATTATGCCATTTGGGGAGTGAATCAGCAGAGGGAAGATCTCTCTCTCCCCCCTCCCCTTTGACTCTGCCTTTTAAAGACTCAGCTGAAGAACATTCTCCTGTGTGAATTTTCCAGGTACACAGATATTCTAATAAAACTGTACACATTATAAAAGCATTTATTACATGTAATAATCATCATAATAATTTATCTGTCTCCCCTACTATACTCAGAATTCATTGAGAGTACTAGTTTTTCATTCACCTTTTTAAAACAATTATTTATTTTATTTAAAAAGTAGAGTTACACAGAGAGAGGAGAGACAGAGAGAGCTATCTTCCATCCACTAGTTCACTCCCCAGTTGGTTGCATCAGCCAGGGCTGGGCCAGACAGGAGCCAGGAGCTTCTTACGGATCTCCCACATGGGTGTCAGCAGTCCAAACACTTGGTCCACCTTCTGCTACTTTCCCAGGCACATTAGCAGGGAGATGGGTAGGAAGTGGAGCAGCCGGGACACAAACCAGAGCCCAAATGGGATGCCAGCGTTGCAGGTGGTGGCTAAACTCACTCTACCACAGCGAAGGCCCTTTCCTTCACCTTTGTGGTCCCAGAATTTCACAGTGACTATTCCATTAAAAGTACTGTATACATTTTTTCTTTTATTGAATACATATTGGATCAGCCATATATACATAAATATATTCCTAGATATCTGATTAGAGCAAGATATGACTGGGTCCCTATGAGAATTTCCTTCCATGGGCATTAAGGCTGCTCTTTGACCAGTTCATGTGTAGTTTCCTGCAACCTACTTCAGTCGCATTTTTCTTTGTGTCAAACTGGTATCCAACTCCAGCTCTTCAAGAGTTTACTGCCAACACCATGGTTACTGAAGAATGAATCTTTGGGTCAAGTGGTCAATCACTCATTTCAGAATATAGGTTTGGTTGGCTTTGTATTTCAGAGGATCATACACTGATACCCACAAAGATGACTTACTTAGTCTTAGTCTTTTTTTTAAATTCATATTTGAAAGGCAGAGTTACAGAGAGGAAGAAGCAGAGAGAGAGGTCTTCCATCTGCTGGTTCACTCCCCAAATGGCCACAACCCCTGAGCTGGGCCAATCCGAAGCCAGGAGCCAGAAATTCCCACGAGGGTGCAAGGGTCAAGGACTTGGGCCATCTTCTACTGCTTTCCCAGGCCATAGCAGAGAGTTGGATGGGAAGTGGAACAGCTGGGACTCAAATCGGCATCCAAATGGAATGCCGGCACTGAAGGTGGCGGTTTTACTTGCTAGGGCACAGCGCTGGCCACCCTAGTTAGTCTTAATCTAAGAATATAAGAGCTGTCTATTAAATAAGAACAAGAGTTCGTGCAGTGCAATATTCTAATATGCTGCTAATTATCTTAATTTATATAATACTTTTCTATAAACAGGTGGTTTTTAAAAAGATTTACTTTATTTATTTGAAAGACAGAGCTACAGAGAGAGGTAGAGACACAGAGAGAGAGAGAGGTCCTCCATCCACTGGTTCACTCCCCAGATGGCCACAATGGACAGAGCTGCACCGATCCGAAGCCAGGAACTTCTGGGTCTCCTGCGTGGATGCAGGGGCCCAAGCACTTGGGCCATCTTCTACCACTTTCCCAGGCCACAGCAGAGAGCTGGATCGGAAGAGCAGCAGCCAGGACTAGAACTGGTGCCCATATGGGATGCCGTTGCTTCAGGCCAGGGCTTTAACCCACTGCGCCACAGCGCCGGCCCCCAACAGGTGATATTTTTAAAATTTATTTTTGTTTTTAATTTTAGTTAAAAGGCAGAGAGACAGAGAGAACAGAGAGAGAGAGAGAGAGAGAGAGAGAGAGAGAGATCTTCCATCCTCTGGCTTACCCCCTCAATGCCTCCAGCAGCCAGAGCTGGACCAAGCCAGGAGACAGAAACTCAATCTGGGTTTCCCACATGGGTGACAGGGACTTAGGTACTTGAACAGTCATCTGCTAATTCCCAGGGTACATTAGCTGGAAGTGGAACTGGGACTCAAACCCAGGCTCTAGGATATGGGATGCAGTCATGCCAAGTGGTATCGTAACTGCTGAACTAAATGTTCACCCTCAAATGACATTATTATATACCTTTTGATAATTGAAACTGAGGCTTACAGGTTGCTTTTGTCTGCTTAAGCCACTGTAACAAAAATATCACAGACCGGGTGGCTTAAACAACAGAAATTAATTTTCTTATCATCTGGACTCTGGAAGTTCCAGATCAGGGTGCAGGTATAATTGGATTCTTGCCTGGCTTGCACAGGGTCATCTTCTGGCTTCTGTGTGTTCACCTTTTCTCTATGCATGTTCATGGAAAGACAAAACTCTGGGGTCTCCTCTTCTCCTTCTAAGGGTATTGATCTCTTCCAAACCGACTTCCTCCTCAATGGCCCCACCTCTGAATATCATCACATTGTGGATTAGAGCTTCAAGATACATTTTGGGGGTACTCATACAGTCAATTTATAACTGAGACTACACTACCTCTCTATGGGTACTTAATCAAGTAGCAGGACAAATATTGACTGCTTTCTATAAAAATTTCTTTGTTGCTTTTTTATTTTTAAAGACATTTATTTGTTTGAAAGGCAGAGCAGCAGAAATGGGGTGGGGTGTGGGAGAGAAAGAGAGAGGTATCTTCCATCTGCTGGTTTACTGCCCCAGTGGCTGTAACAGCTGGCAGTGGGCCAGGCTGAAGTCAGGAGCCAGGAGCTCCATCTGGGTCTTCCACTTGGGTGCAGGGGCCCAAACACTTGAGCCATTATCTGCTGCCTTCCCAGGCACATTAGCAGGGAGCTGGATTGGCAGCTGAGGAGTCGGGACTCGAACCCCCCTCTGATATGGGATGCCCGTGTCACCAGTGGTGGCTTAACCCACGGTGCCACAACTCTGGCCCCTCTTTGTTGCTTTTTATACATAGGTACTTTTTAATTAGCATTTTAAAAAGCAAGATACTACTGGTTCTCATTGATTATCTCTGGTAAATTCTCCCCAAACATGAATCATCCTTTAACACTTTTCATATATATGTTTATATTTTTCAACTGTTTTAGTGAGGGCAAACAATGTAAGATCTCTCTCTCTCTCACTCTTTAAAATTTCTCACCAAAATAAATAAGTAAATAAATAAAACAGAGAGAGAGAAAGAGAGAGAGAGTGAGCGAGCACCGGGCCCTCAGTGCTTCTGGCAATTTTATTCTAACACAAGTAGCGCCCAGATTGTAATTCTGATAAGTATTTCAGTTCTTTCTTGAAAAATTAAATTCACAAAACAATTGATTATCAGTTATAAATGGCAAAAACACCATCTGGTTTTCAAAATTGGTTAAATCCATGTAGCAAGGGGAAGAGAATGTTGGAACTTGCAGTTGGCGAGGAGTTCTAGTCCACGAAGCAGAAAATGACGCGCTTTACTATGAGAAAGCCAGAGTAGTCATAACTTGTACTTAGCGGCTGCGGGAATTTGATACGTTCTTCACATGTTCCATATGTTAAATCGCTTGGCGAGATCTTCAGTGTGAAAGAGCTGGGGGTGGGAGAGGCGCATGGCTAGTGGATATAGCAACAGCTTCATCCTAAATTCTCACCTCTGGTTCTTCCACGGAGACAGACACCCCTGTGCTACAGGTGTGCTCAAGGTGATTCCGTTTTTTTTTTTTTTAAACCTGGGAAACTAAATGTGCAAGTTCCTTATCCTTATGGCACAGGTGGCATTTTTGTGGAAACTTCTAAAGCTATTTGCATTCTTCTAGTGAGGTAACTCATACAGCATTAGCATTTCCTATAGCAATGTCCCATGCTGCTCTTTGCCAACTAGAAATTTGAGTAGGTGTTCATTTGATGTGCCAAGGGAACGAAGGGAGATGAAAACACCCCACATCTTCCAATGTCCCCATACTGTGTTCTGGGTGTGGGAGGACTGGGGCCTGGCTGGATTCTCTTGGAGATTCAGTCTCATGAGGAATGCTTTTCCTTTGGAGGATACTGCAATTCTGTTATTTTAAAAAATGCTCTGTGTTGCTGGCATATTTTCACCTTATGTTAAAAATGTAGCTATCCTTTTCTTATTATTCATGCATTGTAATGCACAACTTATTCATTCACTTAGATATTTATTGAGGCACAGTACAGCATAGTGGTTAATTGCATAGGCTCTCTCTGCAACTTAGAAATGATGATCTTAGGGCATTTGCTAATCTTTCTAACCATATTTTAAAAATATAAAATGGAAGACAATAATAGTCTGCACTTTGGGGTTTGTTTCAAGGATTAAATGAGATTATGCATGCAAAATACTTATCAGAAGCCAATAAACACAAGAATAGCAATAATAACATAAATAAAAATCTTTAAAAAAAAGGGGGGGTGGCTGGCGCTGTGGCGCAGCGGGTTAATGCCCTGGCTTGAAGCGCCAGCATCCCATATGGGCGCCCGTTTGAGACCTGGCTGCTCCACTTCCAATCCAGCTCTCTGCTATGGCCTGGGAAAGCAGTAGAAGATGGTCCAAGTCTTTGGGCCCCTGCACCCACATGGGAGACCTGGAAGAAGCTCTTGGCTTCTGGCTTTGGATCGGCACAGCTCCTGCCACTGATGCCAATTGGGGAGTGATTCATCGGATGGAAGATTCTCTCTCTCTGCCTCTCCTCTCTCTGTGTAACTCTTTCAAATAAATAAATAAAAAATCTTTTAAAAAAGAGAATAGTAGTAATAACAATAGGAAATATGTATACTGCTCTATGTAAGGGCCTGTCTGTGCTAGGTTTTCCAATATATAGGACTTGACCTGACAGTTTACACATCACTTCCAGCGTATACAGGACCTCGATTTTTTTTTCTTTAATCCTGATTTTGGTGGCACTCTGCTTTGCTTTGGATCTGAGCTAGGTGGCTTCACTTCCACCGGTGATAAGACTCGGTGGGACTCTGCCGACCTGGCGTTCTCCAGCGGTGGTGGCTTCCTGCCGGTGGTGTGCTATGTGCCTGCTGGAGCTCCCCCCACCTCTGGAGGGTTGCCTGTAGTTCATGCTTCGGGGCCTGTAATTACAGAGCAGCATATCCAGGGCTGCGAAGACAGGGCAGTCTCGAAATTAGTTTATGCATAATGGATAATAGGAGGCCGGCTTTAAGTGTAACTCATTTGGTGGGTTGGCAGATCTCGACTTCCTTTTTGATATGTATTATTTATTTATTTATTATTTATTTATTTATTTTCGCCAGATGAGGACAGAGGGCTGGAGAAGTCATTTGGTGCAGCTCTTCTAGACTATAGCTCAGACGTAGCAATTTACATTCAGTAATCTCTTGGTCATTTAGCCACAGATAATTTGTCATGGTTTGTTTTAGCTGTTGTGATATTGATATTTATTATGCAAATTGTATTTCCTACATCTTATTGTTCTGCATTCTATGAATACTTAAATTATTATAAACCTTTACACTTAATATGGCTCGTCCTTCAATTTGATGCTTGAGCAACAGAGGGTCAGAGCGCACACAGTCTTCTAGAGGGAAGGAAATAAGTAATTAAAAAGCAAACAAGAGAGCCGGCTGCCTGGCTGGAAAGAAAGCCAAGGTAATTTCGGGCAGCGAGCGCGAGCCCGGGGAAGCAAGTCGCTTCAGCCACCAGCCTCTCCCGCCTGGGGAAGGGGCCGCTCACGGCACCTGTTGGTCCCCAGCCCTCGGGGAGCTGAGCGCGCGGAGCCCCGAAGCAGCAGCAAGGCCGACTCCACCTTCTCGGCCCTCGCCGTCCTGCAGCCCTGCCCTCCAGCCTGAAGCCTTGACCGACTAGGTTTTCTGTTGTGCGTGCGTCACCTGAAACATGTACCATGGCATAATGTCGTAGGCACCTGAAACCCACACACATCCACATCGACACCAGGAAGGAGACCCTCTCCAAGCTGGGGAGCCTGCGTACAGCCTCCTGCATCTACCTTTCCGGAGACGCTACCGCAAAGACACCGGCTCGAAAATCCCAGAACCCGACTCCACGGCTCCTGGCTCGCCAACTATGCCCAAGTCCGCCGCTAGGCTGTCGAGCGGGCTCTCCCGCGCCGCCGGACGCGCAAAGCACGCATGCACTTCTCCCAGATTGTTTTGTCAATCCGGGGACCTGCATTGGCACCCTGCACTCCCGCACGGCCCCCGTCTCCCCCAAATCTACTCCTCGGATGCAAGGTGAGTGTCGGAAATTGGCAACAGCTGGTGTGCGGGCTAGCTGCGCTCGGCGAGCCTGGCGGAGGAGCCTGCTAGGGAGAGTTTGCAGGCGTCGGTCTGATGTAGCGATTGCTATCAACATCCCTAATAAAGGTGTACGGGAAGCCGGGCCCGCCCCCTTGCAGCCCGAGGCCCCGCACGCTGGCCGCCCTGGAGAACACTTTTTCCTTGATCCTGGGGAAAGCGAAGACGAATTTTAACATAAACATATTTGCATACGCCCCGCCCCCGGCCCCGCCCCTAGGTGGCGCGGGCGCGCCGCCGAACGCCGGCGCCAGGGGGCGGGGTACGGGAGGGGGCGAGTCCTCCGAGAGCCGGGTTGGGCTCACGGCGCTGTGATTGGTCTGCCCGGACTCCGCCTCCAGCGCATGTCATTAGCATCTCATTAGCTGTCCGCTCGGGCTCGGGAGGCAGCCACCGCCGCCAGTCTGAGGCAGGTGCCCGACATGGCGAGTGCTGTGCTGCCGAGCGGATCCCAGTGTGCGGCGGCAGCGGCAGTGGCGGCGGCGGCGGCGCCTCCCGGGCTCCGGCTCCGGCTTCTGCTGTTGCTCCTCTCCGCCGCGGCACTGATCCCCACAGGTAGGTGTGGGCCCCTGCCGATCGGCCCCTAAATCTCCCGAGGCACCCCAGGAGCCGTAGCCGTGGAGGGGGGAAACGTTTCCATGACAACCTTCCCCCACTTCCTAAATCCGAAGCGCAGGGAGTGTGGCGAGGAAAACTCGCGGCTGAGCTGGAAGGGGCTGAGGGGGCCGGTGGTTCCCCTCTGCCCTGCCCTGCGGGGTTTGAAGGAGAATCCTCAGGGACGGCTGCACCCACACCTCGTCTCCCCGGCTGGGCGCGGGGTGCGGAGTGGAGTGAGGATGGGGGCCGGGGGGGCTGCAGCGTTATGGGGGAAGGGGCTGGGTCGAAAGCACCGGCCAGCCTTCCGGACCCTCCTCAACTCGCGGTCGTCCCCGTAACTTGCAGGTCCCCGCGTCTCCCAGGGCTGCTCCCCCCGGCCCCCACCTCTCGGGCGAGCCCCCCGGTTCTCCGTGCCCGAAAAGCCTCCCCAGGGCTGACGACCCGCCCGCCTCCGGCGTGATTCCTCTCCGGGCCCCAGGACATCCCCAGACTTGGCTCGTCTCCCTGCGCGCCCGCGCGCTGCCTTTCCCCCCTGTCCCCGAACTGCACGCCGCTCGTGTTTCCCTGCGGCCGCTCGCCGCCCCTCCGCCCCCCGCGGCTGGGCTGCGGGTCTCCCTGGCCCGGCTCCAGGCGGGGAAAGTTCCCGGGGCCCGGCCCCGCGGGGCGGGGGAAGGCGAGCGCCGTCGCCGCCTCTGCGGGAAGGCGCCGGGAGCCCGCAGCCCGCGCGCCCCGCGGCGTCCTCCGCCGCGAGCGGGAACGCCGGGTTTCCCGGCCGCCGGCCCTCTCGGGCGGCGGAGGGGGCGTTCGCGGCCTCTGCGGGCCTCCGGGCGCCCCGCGTGTGGACGGCCGCCTTGGGGAATTCGCCCGGGGGCGGCCGTGCACGCCCCGGCGCCTTCGCTGAGGCGGCCGAGCACTCGGCAGGAGCTCCATGTGTGGCTGCCCGTGTGCCGGGCGCGTTGGCGCTGTCGGGAAAGAAGAGGGCAGTGTTTGCATTTGCTAACAAAAGGCAGCCGGAGCTCTGCCCCTACCGAGAGGCCGGCCGCGCTGCTGCACCCTGCCTGCCTTCCCGCCACCTCGCCGCGCCGCGCTGTGCTGCCGCGCCCGGGGTCCCCAGCACCCCTGGCCGCCGGCTGCGGGGGCTCGGAGCTGGCGCCGGCCGAGGGGCTCCGGGCCGCGGGGGGCGGGCGGCGGTGCGGGAGGGGATGCAGCAGGGGGCTGTGCGCCTGCAGAGCCCCCTCCTTGCAGCTCTGGAGCTGCAGGACCCGGGAGCAACAAGTGGCGGAGGACGCCGAGAGCTCAGCCCCCAGCAGCGGAGCCCCCAGCCCCGGCGGGCGGCGCGCTGGCCCAGCCGTGCGGCTCCGGGGGCGTCTCTCCGCTTGAGCGGTGCCTTTTGTTTACACGCTAGAGGACACACAGTTATGTAAACACCGCAGGAGGCACGCTGTAGAAAATGAGGATGTCTGGGGGTGCTAGCTTTCCATGGTGGGGTGGGGGTGGGGGTGCCGGGCTGGTTGCTTCTCCCCGGAACAGGCTGGTAGCAGAGCTGGGTTTGGGGGAACCTACTGGGACTCTGTGGGGGTGGGAGGCTTGCAGCAGCTTCAGTGCCAGCGTTGAGGATTTTTTTTTTCCTATCGTGCCAGTGTCTGTGTCCGAATATTGTTTGTGTATTTCCCTCGGTGGGGTTCTTAATTCATGAGTTAGGAGATGACTGGGCTCAGCCCATGCCGGTATGGTTACAACTTCATTTCGGGTGATGGCTGAGACTGGATGGGTTCAATAAAATGTTCCTGAAAGAGATCCCTCGTGCTGCTGCATTGTAAAAAAAAAAAAAAAGCGCCAGTGTCAGTTAAACGTGAGCGTGAGTAAAGGCTCGGTAACTGGCGCATAATAGAGGCAACAATGGACTTGTACTGGCTGCAAAAAAAAGTGTGTGTGTGTGTGCGTGCGTGTGTGTGGAGGGGGGTGGCGGGTGGGAAGCCCTGGTCGGGGGGAGACTGCCTTTCGACTAAAAATGGGAGCCGTGCAGCGCCGCTTCGCCGCGGAGCAGGCATCGCTTGTGCCTCGTCCGTGAGCCGCCTCCTGGAAGGCACCAGGTAGTAGCACCAGCACTGTATTTGTAACTATATCGCGGCAAGAAGTTGCTTTCCTGGCGAGGGATGGATGCTGATTTAGGAAGGAGCGGTCTGGAACTCAACCGTGCATGGCAAAGCTACATGGAAATTCTGTTGCCAGTTACCATGGAAGCAGCTTCTTGCTCTTGTGTACATCCCTGTTTGTACGCCGGTTATCAGATTGTGTTCAAATTAGAAAGTAATTGGGTTTGATTTGTAGTAAAGGGATGAAATGACTTTCTTTACATTTTTCCCCCCTCTCAATGCATGTCTTTTGTGGGTTGAGTTTGAGGGGGGGGGATCTTGGGCCAGCCCTAGGTCCCCTTCTGCAGAGGTGAATTTCGGGTGGGCATGGGGGACTTTTCTTCTCAGTCATCCTCTTTAAGCGTTTTCGAAGGCTTCCAGCGCCCACTCCCAGGGTTGGAGAAACCTGTTGGTGCAGCCTTCCTGCTTCATTCGGCTTGTTTTCATTTATATCCTTGCTGGGAAATCCACGTAGGGCTGATGTGCAGTGATTCCTGGCTGTTTTCTCCTGTAACTAAAGTCGTCCATTCCCCCATCCCGGCTACCCTGACTCCCACCCCCAAAAGCCTCCTCCCATCCTTCCTGTGGTGTTTCGATGAAATGGATGTTGATGAAATGCAGCCAAAATGGGATTGCCTAAGCTGGCTGCACAGTGTTAATCGCGCCTGTACGCCTGTTAGGTTTAAGGTGCACGCATGATGGTGTTTTCCACTGCGAACGAACCAGGGGCAGATGACCCCCCCTCTTACCTTTTTTCAGGATTAGAGAAGAGGGCTGATGGGGAGGGGGTCTATGACGGGGAAGGGAAGCCCAGGGCTGAGCCTCGCTTGCCTTAGCCTGTTAGGGCTTGTAGACCGGGATAGGGACTTTACAAAAGTGCCGCCCTGCTATTGTTGCCTTTCCCTGCATCAAATTGAATAGCCGCAGGAGGGACTTGCACTTGTCTGTGATAGCGTTGATAAAATATCCCTCATTAATGCCACTTTATATTTACAGTGTGTCACTGGAGACGCACAAGGCTTCATTTAGTGACTTGTGTGACGAGACAAGCTTGCATTATTTGCCCGGGACATTTTGGAGGAACAAGAGACCCATTGAGTAATCTTTTGAAATGAACAAATACGAAAAAGGGGGCAAATAAAAGAGCAGGCAGTTCTGTGGAACAAAGAGCTTTATTCATATGGATGTTGTACATGCTTTCTCCAGTTTTCCCCAATGGCCCTCCTGGTAAAGGGGAGTGGGATGAGGAAGACGCCAACAGGCAGGACACTTTCACTTCCTCCCTCACTTCCTGACTTCGTGTTCTTATCGGAGTTCGTCCTGAATCACTGCCTGCTCAACTTTCTCTACTCCCTCTCAAATCCCAGAAGGTAATGGGTTCCTGAGTCTCAAAGGGAGACTCTGAAATCCTTTCTCCCTGCTCCCCATTTCATCAGAAGAGAGTGGTAGCTACCTGTTGAGACTGATGGTCGTTGGAGGAGATACTGGTTGAAAGGAGAGAGATGTCACTTTTCTATGTTATGTGTCAGGAAGTGGTTGATAGTGAATGTCAGATTGGTAAGATGTCTTACATTGATAACGTTAGACTTCCTATTTATTTAGCATCCAAAATTTTCTTTGTCATTAAGGTTGTTTTTGGAGTTTTTAGTGGCTTTTTCTGCACCTGGTATGTTTTAATGTCATAGCTGAGTGAATTTTGATTTTCCTTGGCCTGTATTGCTAAATGATTTTTTAGGCTTTAAAAATTGATAATACTGCTGTGAATATAAACTGTCTCATTCTCTTTGGTTTCTGCATGTGACATTTTAATGCCTAATAATTGGCCACTTAGAATTTACATTTTAAAAATGTTTGCGTGTGTATGTTTTTAACAAAAGGCCCGTTTTTATGCAGAAAATCACTTAAACCGGGCCAGTCTAATCCATGCTATGATTTGAATGGAAATTTACTAGCATTTGAGAAAAATTTGTGGGAAATAAATCCAGAGGATTCAAGTGCTGTATATCTTTCTTGGGAAGAACAGTACTGACCATTACACTGGGCATTTTTTAACTGAAAATGCCGCACAGAAAGGAGAAATCACACAGCGACATCTGTTGCAGAATTGAAAATTTGCTGCTTTGAGTTGGAAGCAATTAGTTCCATATAAGTGCATAATGGTATCTGTGTATGTGTGTGTGTGTGTATTGACAGAAATATGTGTGT